AAAGAGGGGGAAAGAGAGAGACTGAGAGAGAGAGAGAGAGAGAGAGAGAGAAAGAGGGGGAAAGAGAGAGACTGAGAGAGAGAGAGAGAGAGAGAGAGAGAGAGAGAGACTGTGACACTGTTAGCGTCCTGATCCTGCGGTCACAGACTTACACGCCACCACTTTAGACTCACTTTACACGAGTACATGAACACACGACCACAAACAGAGTCCACTAAACACAGCTAACAACAACTGGACACTCACACACACTGGGTTACACTGCTGTAGGCTGAATGGGCGGGGCTAAACTGCAGTTCAGTTACTGTAAATGTACTATATGTGCTGCAAAGTGAACGATATACCTTAAAAATGTACCAGTATTTATGTTCTACATCAAAAATGGTGGTTTCTGGGAAATGGGCCCTTTAAAGGTGTAGGAGGAGCTGAGGGGGAACAGCAGGTGAGGTTCCTGCAGGCAGTGAAGGAGAGAAATCCTGGTTCAAACCCGAATCAGGGCTTCAGAACAGCGGGTTCTTTATAAAGCTCTATAAATCCAGGAGCTCCAGCTTCAGCGCTGCGCTGCTGGGCTCCTTTCTCACAGTAAAGAGTGAAGGATGAAGAGATAAAGACAGAACAGAGTCCACTACAGTCCAAAACTAATGGAGTTCTGATCTGGGCTCTGCACTGTAACCCCTACTGATACACCACACTCCTTCTCTATGTCTCTCTACCACTCTCTCTGTCTCTCAACACTATAACCCCTACTGATACACCACACTCATTCTCTAGGTCTCTCTACCACTCTCTCTCTCTCAGCACTATAACACCTACTGATACACCACACTCATTCTCTAGGTCTCTCTACCACTCTCTCTCTCTCAGCACTATAACACCTACTGATACACCACACTCATTCTCTATGTCTCTCTACCACTCTCTCTCTCTCAGCACTATAACACCTACTGATACACCACACTCATTCTCTAGGTCTCTCTACCACTCTCTCTCTCTCTCTCAGCACTATAACACCTACTGATACACCACACTCATTCTCTATGTCTCTCTACCACTCTATAACACCTACTGATACACCACACTCATTCTCTATGTCTCTCTACCACTCTATAACACCTACTGATACACCACACTCCTTCTCTATGTCTCTCTACCACTCTCTCTCTCTCTCTCAGCACTATAACACCTACTGATACACCACACTCATTCTCTATGTCTCTCTACCACTCTATAACACCTACTGATACACCACACTCATTCTCTATGTCTCTCTACCACTCTATAACACCTACTGATACACCACACTCCTTCTCTAGGTCTCTCTACCACTCTCTCTCTCTCTCTCAGCACTATAACACCTACTGATACACCACACTCATTCTCTAGGTCTCTCTACCACTCTCTCTCTCTCTCTCAGCACTATAACACCTACTGATACACCACACTCATTCTCTATGTCTCTCTACCACTCTATAACACCTACTGATACACCACACTCATTCTCTATGTCTCTCTACCACTCTATAACACCTACTGATACACCACACTCCTTCTCTATGTCTCTCTACCACTCTCTCTCTCTCTCTCAGCACTATAACACCTACTGATACACCACACTCATTCTCTATGTCTCTCTACCACTCTATAACACCTACTGATACACCACACTCATTCTCTAGGTCTCTCTACCACTCTCTCTCTCTCTCTCTCAGCACTATAACACCTACTGATACACCACACTCATTCTCTATGTCTCTCTACCACTCTATAACACCTACTGATACACCACACTCCTTCTCTATGTCTCTCTACCACTCTCTCTCTCTCTCTCTACCACTCTATAACACCTACTGATACACCACACTCATTCTCTATGTCTCTCTACCACTCTATAACACCTACTGATACACCACACTCATTCTCTAGGTCTCTCTACCACTCTCTCTCTCTCTCTCTCAGCACTATAACACCTACTGATACACCACACTCATTCTCTATGTCTCTCTACCACTCTCTCTCTCAGCACTGTAACCCCTACTGATACACCACACTCCTTCTCTATGTCTCTCTACCTCTCTCTCTCTCTCTCTCTCTCAGCACTATAACAGCTACTGATACACCACACTCCTTCTCTATGTCTCTCTACCTCTCTCTCTCTCTCTCTCAGCACTGTAACACCTACTGATACACCGCACTCATTCTCTATGTCTCTCTCTCTCTCTCTCTCTCTCTCTCTCTCTCTCTCTCTCTCTCTCTCAGCGCTATAACACCAACTGATACACCACTCCTTCTCTATATCTCTCTACCTCTCTCTCTCTCTCTCAGCACTATAACACCAACTGATACACCACTCCTTCTCTATGTCTCTCTACCTCTCTCTCTCTCTCAGCACTATAACACCAACTGATACACCACTCCTTCTCTATGTCTCTCTACCACTCTCTCTCTCACACACTCTATAACACCTACTGATACACCACACTCCTCTATGTCTCTCTACCTCTCTCTCTCTCTCTCAGCACTATAACACCAACTGATACACCACTCCTTCTCTATGTCTCTCTACCTCTCTCTCTCTCTCAGCACTGTAACACCTACTAATACACCGCACTCATTCTCTATGTCTCTCTACCACTCTCTCTCTCTTTGTCTTTGTACTCTCTCTCTCTCTGCCTCTCTCTCTCTCTCTCTCTCTCTCTCTCTCTCTGTTCAGTTAAAGTGTCTGTAACCATGGAAACCGGCTCCACAGCCTTGGACTAGCAGTCATAGTGTTAGCCTGTACACAATAGCTTAGTGGCTAACGGCTAACATGCCTGTTCACACACACACACACGCACACACACACACACACACACACACAGTCGGTGTGAGTCGATCTGGGTGAGATCATGCAGTCTAGAACCGAAACTCCAACTCAGATCTGCTTCTTCTTCACTCATAATCATGTTTATCATATTCAGTGAATCAAACTGATCATCAGACGCAGCACACTCAGTTCCACACAGACCAGAACCGCCCTCAGCATGGCAAACTCTCTTCTGCTCTAGAACCCTCAAAGTAGAACCCTATCAAGATAACAGATACAATGAAGAAAACCTCGTAGAACACAGAGAGCAAGGTGCTAGAACAGAATTAAGGTGAAAACAGGAGGTTCTACAACAGAGTTAAGGTGAAGACAGAAGGTTCTAGAGCAGAGACAAGGTCACGACAGAAGGTTTTAAAAGAGAAATGGAAAAGACAGAAGGTTCTAGAACAGAAAGAGGGCATGAACAAAAGGTTTGAGAACCTAAATAAGATGAAGATAGAAGGTCCAGGGTAAAGACAGAAGGTTCTCAATTAGAAAGGGTGAAACTATACAGTTAAAGAACAGAGATAAAATGTTCTAGTGCAGAGATATGGTGAAGACAAAAGGTTCTAAAACACAGGACAAAGGCAGAAGGACAGAGAAAGGCCAAAGAGAGAAGGTTCCGTATTAGAGATAGGGAATAAAAAGAAAAGGTTCTAGGGTACGGGCCAGGGCATAATATTCTAAAACAGAGACAGGGCAGAGACAAAGATCTAGATTAGAGACAGATTGAATATAAAATAGGTTCTAAAGCAGAACAGAGATGTGGTGAAGATAAAAAGTACCAGGGCAAATTTTGCAAAGACAAAGGCTCTAGAGCATAGAGCAAAGGGAGAAGGTTCTACAAAAGATAGAATATTCTAGAATAAAGACAAGTCAAAGAGAGAAGGTTCCAGAAGAGAGTTATGGTGAAGACAAAATGGCTCTAGAGCATGTGGAAAAGGCAGAATGTTGTACAACAGAGAAAGGTAGAGGTAGACAATAGGTTCTAGATTAGATTATGTGAACATAAAATGCTCTAGAACAGAGAGGTGGTAAAGATGAACAGTTATAGGACAGAAATATGGGGAGGACAAAAGTTTCTAGAGCACGGGGCAAAAACAGTTCTAGAACAGAGATATGGTGAAGAGAGACGTACGGAAGATAAAGGGTTTTGGGACAAATTTGGCAAAGACAAAAGGTTCTAGAGTACAGGGCGAAGGCAGATTGTTCTAGAACAGACAAGGCAGAAATGTTAGGTTCTAGATTAGGGAAAGAGTGCATATAAAATGTTCTAAAACTGATGTGGGGAAGATAAAATGTTTTAGAAAAGATTTGGTGAAGACAAAAAGGTCTAGAGCACGGGGTGAAGGCAGTATGTTCTAGAACAGTGATGGACAGATATGTTAGGTTCTAGATTATAGAGAGAGTGAATATAAGATTTTCTAGAACAGAAGATAAAAGGTTTTAAAACAGATCTGATGATGACAAAAGGTTCTAGGGCATAGATCAAAGACAGAAAGGTGGCTTTAACGGGGACCAGGTTCTTCAGGAGGAACCGGACTGTAGAGGTCTGGGAAGCATTTATGAAGAGAACCGATCTGATGTTCCTGAATCAGCAGCAGCTCCAGTACGTTCTCCTGCTAATCCGTTAGGAAGTAAACAGCGAAGCATTGAAGTCAGCAGACGCTAAAGCAGCATTGATTAGCTGCAGGGTGGAACCGAGAGCGCGTGGAACCCAGACACGCTGCGACTGGAAATGGCTTTTTAAATATGTATTCATCGATTCCGGCCTTTCCAAGCGGACCTGCGCTTTCACACCCGGACGCAGATGAAGGAATAATGGAGGACAGTTTCACATCATCTCCTCAGACATGATGAATCTCCTCCGTCTGCTCTGCTGAAGGTCTGAAAGTCAGCGCCCCCTGGAGGACAACGCTGCTAACGTCTATATCACACCACCTCCAGTTCCTCCAGCTGCGTTCAGACACTCGGTGTGGCTTTAAAATGACTCTGAATCAAATCTGAATTGTCTTCGTTATTTGCGTTGTATTTACAGTGAGGACTCTCTCTCTCTCTCTCTCTCTCTCTCTCTCTCTCTCTCTCTCTCCTCTGGGGCATTAATCTGTCCCAGCTTGACTGCATGTTTAACTTGATCAATAACCTGATTGATCTCTACCTGATTGATGTGCTTCAGTTTATCGATCACTTGATTGATGACTGGATCTGCCTCCTTAACTCGGACCTCCGGATTCTCCGCCTGGGCCTTTATCCCACTGCCCACCACCCGCTGAGTGTAGCTGCAGAGAGAGACAGAGAGAGAGTGAGAGAGAGGGTGAGAGACAGAGAGAGAGAGAGAGAGAGAGTGAGAGAGAGGGTGAGAGACAGAGAGAGAGAGAGAGAGAGAGAGAGAGAGAGGGTGAGAGACAGAGAGAGAGAGAGAGAGAGAGAGAGAGAGCGTAAAAACAGTGAGATGTGAGATGTGATGTGTTTATGGGTGAACAGGTTCCTCTCTGAGTCGACCTTGTGGAGGACAAACAGGAAATAAACACACACTCCAAACACTCCAGCAGGACAAACACTGCACACACACACACACACACACACACAGACACACATACACACACACACACACACACACAGACACACATACACACACACACACAGACACACAGACACACACACACACACACACACACACAGACACACACACAGACACACATATACACACACACACAGGCAGGCAGAGAGCTGGTGTTGGCTGTACTGATGGATACAGTAACCCCTGCACTCTGAGACATCAGGTCCAGAATCAGTGGGTAACAGTGAAAAACTGTTACACTGTAATAGTGCAAGAAAGTGATAGTATAATATTGTGATAATGTTGTAGTGTAATAGAGAAAAAGTGTAATGGTATAAAAGTGTAAGAGTATAATAGTGTAACAGTGTAAAAATAATAGTAATAGTGCTGGGCTGTAATAGTGTGAGAGTGTAAAAAAATAATAGTGCAAAAATGTAAAGGTGTACTAGTGCAAGACTATAATAGTGTAATAATGTAAGACTGTAATAGTGTAACAGTGTAAGAGTGTAATCGTACAAGAGTGTAAAAGTATAATAGTGTAAAAGTGTAATAGCACAAGAGTGTAATAGTGTAAGAATGTCCTAGTGAAACAGTGTAATACTGTATGGGTAAAACAGTGTGAGTGTATCAGTGCAGGATTGTAATGATATAAAAGTATGAGAATTTAATGGTAAAAGTGTCATAGTGCACATCTGTATTAGTGTAATAATGTAAAAGTGTAACCGTGTACTGGTGTAATAGTATAATATTGTGAAAGTGTAATATTGTAAAAGTGTAATAGTGCAAGGGTGTAAGAGTGTAATAGTGTAACAGTGTAAGAGTGTAAGATTGTAACAGTGTATGTAAAAGTGTAAGAGAAGAATATTGTGATATTGTAAGTGAAAACTGTGTACTTGTGTAATTGTGTAATGAGTGTGTTCTCTGCTCTCCCACCATTCAGCTACAGCAGTTTAGCTCCACCCATTCAGTCTACAGCAGTTTAGCTCCACCATTCAGTCTACAGCAGTTTAGCTCCACCATTCAGCTACAGCAGTTTAGCTCCACCATTCAGCTACAGCAGTTTAGCTCCACCATTCAGTCTGCAGCAGTTTAGCTCCACCATTCAGTCTACAGCAGTTTAGCTCCACCATTCAGCTACAGCAGTTTAGCTCCACCATTCAGCTACAGCAGTTTAGCTCCACCATTCAGTCTGCAGCAGTTTAGCTCCACCATTCAGTCTACAGCAGTTTAGCTCCACCATTCAGTCTACAGCAGTTTAGCGCCACCATTCAGTCTACAGCAGTTTAGCCCCACCATTCAGATACAGCAGTTTAGCTCCACCATTCAGTCTACAGCAGTTTAGCCCCACCATTCAGTCTACAGCAGTTTAGCTCCACCATTCAGTCTACAGCAGTTTAGCCCCACCATTCAGTCTACAGCAGTTTAGCTCCACCCATTCAGTCTACAGCAGTTTAGCTCCACCCATTCAGTCTACAGCAGTTTAGCTCCACCATTCAGTCTACAGCAGTTTAGCTCCACCATTCAGTCTACAGCAGTTTAGCTCCACCCATTCAGTCTACAGCAGTTTAGCTCCACCATTCAGCTACAGCAGTTTAGCTCCACCATTCAGTCTACAGCAGTTTAGCCCCACCATTCAGTCTACAGCAGTTTAGCTCCACCATTCAGTCTACAGCAGTTTAGCCCCACCATTCAGTCTACAGCAGTTTAGCTCCACCCATTCAGTCTACAGCAGTTTAGCTCCACCCATTCAGTCTACAGCAGTTTAGCTCCACCATTCAGTCTACAGCAGTTTAGCTCCACCCATTCAGTCTACAGCAGTTTAGCTCCACCCATTCAGTGTGCATCTGCACCATTTTTTTTTAGTCGTTTCATTAAATCACACATACTGAGTCCTGAATTGTTTGCTACGCTGTGGAATCTATGAAGCCCTGAACGGTCGACACTCTGAGCAGCACTAATTCAGAGTGACTAATGGCTCTCTTGGACTCGACGGTCTCAGAAAGAGAGAAAAACAAGCTGAGAAACACAGTGGAGGACAGACGCTCGTATTTCAGGGATGTTTTTAGTTTTAAATTTGTGAAGCTGTGCTGGAGGTGCTGTAATCTGATTATCAGGTCAGTTTCAGGAGCGTGCCAAAAGGATTATCAGCATGACGGATTCCAGCATTTCTGTTTGAACAAAACTAAGAGCATTACCTCAAAACAAACATGTCCACGCTCAGCAGCACACCTTCAAACCTCCGGATTAAAGCAAACAGGTAAACAAGGAGGAAACAAAGATGGGCAGTGCAGAGGGCAGCGGAGAAAAGACGGCGGGCAGAAACTTCAACGGCAGACTGACAAACAGCATCGGGAGGGGAAATTAACGGCCGTGTCTTACAGGAAGCAATATCTCATATTTACGTTTCATACAGAGTCAGTTAAAGAACAACAAAACCGTGTTATGCTCCACACAGCACTCTGCTCTTCTACTATCATAATATATATAAAGCATATCAAAGTAATGTTTTACAGTTGTGAGTATATCACATTTGTGAGAATATCACAGTTGTGAGTGTATCACAGTTGTGAGCATATCACAGTTGGCAGTGTATTACAGTTGTATTACAGTTGTAAGTATATCACACTAGTATGTATATCACGTTTATGAGTATGTCACAGTTGTGAGTATATCACGGTTGTGAGTATATCACAGTTTTGAGTATATCACAGTTTTGAGTATATCACAGTTATGAGTACATCATAGTTGCAAGAATATCAAAGTTGTGAGTATATCACAGTTGTGAGTGTATTACATTTCTGAGTATATCACATTTGCGAGTATATTACATTTGGGAGTATATCACAGTTGTGAGTATATCACAGTTGGTAGTGTACTGCAGTTGTATTACAGTTGAAAGTATATGACATTTGTATGTATATCACAGTTATGAGTATATCATAGTTGGGAGTGTATTACAGTTGTGAGGACATCACAGTTGTGAGTTTATCAGTGGACATTGATAGGCATATCACAGCTGTAAGTATATGACATTTATAAGCGTATCACAGCTGTAAGTATAGGACATTTATAAGCGTATCACAGCTGTAAATATATGACATTGATAGGCGTATCACAGCTGTAAGTATATGACATTGACAGGCGTATCACAGCTGTAAGTATATGACATTGATAGGCGTATCACAGCTGTAAGTATATGACATTGACAGGCGTATCACAGCTGTAAGTATATGACATTGATAGGCGTATCACAGCTGTAAGTATATGACATTGATAGGCGTATCACAGCTGTAAGTATATGACATTGACAGGCGTATCACAGCTGTAAGTATATGACATTGATAGGCATATCACAGCTGTAAGTATATGACATTGATAGGCATATCACAGCTGTAAGTATATGACATTGATAAGCATATCACAGCTGTAAGTATATGACATTGGCAGGCGTATCACAGCTGTAAGTATATGACATTTATAAGCGTATCACAGCTGTAAGTATATGACATTGATAAGCGTATCACAGCTGTAAGTATATGACATTTATAAGCGTATCACAGCTGTAAGTATATGACATTGGCAGGCGTATCACAGCTGTAAGTATATGACATTTATAAGCGTATCACAGCTGTAAGTATATGACATTGACAGGCGTATCACAGCTGTAAGTATATGACATTTATAAGCGTATCACAGCTGTAAGTATATGACATTGACAGGCGTATCACAGCTGTAAGTATATGACATTGACAGGCGTATCACAGCTGTAAGTATATGACATTGATAGGCGTATCACAGCTGTAAGTATATGACATTGACAGGCGTATCACAGCTGTAAGTATATGACATTGATAGGCGTATCACAGCTGTAAGTATATGACATTGATAGGCGTATCACAGCTGTAAGTATATGACATTGACAGGCGTATCACAGCTGTAAGTATATGACATTGATAGGCGTATCACAGCTGTAAGTATATGACACTGATAGGCATATCACAGCTGTAAGTATATGACATTGATAGGCGTATCACAGCTGTAAGTATATGACATTGATAAGCATATCACAGCTGTAAGTATATGACATTTATAAGCGTATCACAGCTGTAAGTATATGACATTTATAAGCGTATCACCGATGTAAGTATATGACATTTATAAGCGTATCAGAGCTGTAAGTATATGACATTTATAAGCGTATCACAGCTGTAAGTATATGACACTGATAGGCGTATCACAGCTGTAAGTATATGACATTGATAAGCGTATCACAGCTGTAAGTATATGACATTTATAAGCATATCACAGCTGTAAGTATATGACATTGGCAGGCGTATCACAGCTGTAAGTATATGACATTTATAAGCGTATCACAGCTGTAAGTATATGACATTGACAGGCGTATCACAGCTGTAAGTATATGACATTTATAAGTGCATCACAGCTGTAAGTATATGACACTGATAGGCGTATCACAGCTGTAAGTATATGACATTGATAAGCGTATCACAGCTGTAAGTATATGACATTGATAGGCGTATCACAGCTGTAAGTATATGACACTGATAGGCGTATCACAGCTGTAAGTATATGACATTGATAAGCGTATCACAGCTGTAAGTATATGACATTTATAAGCGTATCACAGCTGTAAGTATATGACATTGGCAGGCGTATCACAGCTGTAAGTATATGACATTTATAAGCGTATCACAGCTG